CGAGTTTGAGCTCTGGTGTTGTATTGGTGCCGAGAACTCAGGGTGACGAAACTGGAAGGTGAGAGAACCGAGTGTGAGAAATCGGGAGACACATGCAATGCAAGAAAGTAAATGATGCTAAAATGTGAATGTAAATGAAGATTTCATGGAATTCAAAACATTTACGAATGTCGTGGGGTACCAAAGAAATCTTTTTCTTGTTTTTTCATTTTATATTTTTTTTTTATTTATGGTATCCCGCGATATCCATAAATGATATTTGAACTCCATGAAATACAATGCAATGAGATGCTTTATGGATGCAATGCATGAAAACACACAAAGTCCTAGGTTAAAGGCTTGCATGAGGTTCAAAGGCGAATACCCTCCCTTGAAGTTAGATGGTTCATCCGGTTCTAAGGGATCTCAATATCATTGATCCTTCACCATGGTGGTTGTTCAGAAGGCAACTGACTTGCCAACCAAAACCCTCCAAGTTTAAGATCTCAATGAGCGTAGTATCGAGTGTCAACCAACTTCAGTCTGCACCAAAGCCGGTTACCTCACTACTTTCTAAAGGCCAAGATGAGTTAACTAGGGTTCTAAAAGTCAGTTAGTGCATTGACAACATATGGCAGCCTCAATATTATCCTCAACTTGACTTAAGGAATATAAGCACCAACCAAGAAGTCGCACTAACTATGGCCACCAGATCAACCGCATCGATATACGTCGTACAGTTTCCTTGGTCTATTGCCATTTACCTAAGGTACACTAGATCCGGGTTAGGACCTATCTCACAGCACAAGGAACAGTCCCACAATCAAAGCGCAAATATATACATGCAAATGAATAATAACACAGATAGTAATAAATATGAACAAGTTAGGGATAACCCTCAAAAGTTTAGGTCTCCCCAGTGAAGTCGCCATTTTCTGTTGCGGTGGAAATAGGATCACAAACTATTAATGAGTTTGAATCGCAATTCAATTCACAACCGCTCTTTGATTTATCCGAAGGAAAAGGTCAAAAGAGGGAAAACCTATTTTGCATCGTAAACACAATGCGGGGAAAGATCTAGGGTTCGGGGGTTGGTTAAATTTAGGGAAGGTATTAGCACCCTAAACTTCTGTAGTACTCTACAGGAACCTTTTGTTCAAATGTTTACTATTTTGCTTTATTTATTTGCTTAAGGTATATGTACAAAGGATTAAAAGTGAGAAAAGAGACCTAAGGGGTTAATTCTAAGTTTACTCGGCAAGACATCGCATCTTGTGCCTACGTATCCTTATGGGAGTGGAATCAGAGTAATCGTAGTTCCTCTCAATAGGGAGGTTAGAAACTTCTTGACTGTGGTCAAGGTCTCAAGGGGAATAAACGTATCTTAGGGACACGCTTACGAGGAGTGTAGAAACTCCAAATCTCTACGTTGAATTGTTAAGTTGTAGTTAGGGTTAAATTAGGTTAGGGATTCCGCGGCGGGAAACCCTAAAATGAGCGCGGCGGCTCTTTGACCTAATGCTAGGGGTAAAATTGTAATCCTGCCTGCGGCGAGGCATTTGTGAAAATTAGGGTTTGGTTAGGGATTCCGCGGCGGGAAACCCTAAAATGAGTGCGGCGACCCTTTTGGCATAACACTAGGATAAAAGCAATTTTGCCCACGGCGGGACACCTAGGCTAAACAGGGTTTGATCCATTAAAGGGGTAAGGCTATTGACTCGGCGGCCAAAAGGCTGGACCTAATCCTTCGGAAGGATAAAACTGTAAAAAAAATGTGAAAATATGACAAATCATTATGTGGAGGAATAATTAAGGTACAAAAATAAGGAAAGTAATAAAGGCAGAGGGTATAAAGAAACAAAGAAACATTTCTGAAAACATGAAGAATATGAAAATATGTAATAACACTTAGAATGAAGTGAGGGAGGAAAATAGTGTGGGGCTGTGGCCACCACAAGCACATCTCAACCTCAAGCATGCAAATGAAATGCAGGAATAAAGAAAATAAAAGGTACACAAAATGACACGGCAAAGGAGTTCCTTACGAAAAGGTTTTAATTTTTTAATATTTTAATTATGTAAAAAAATGTTTTAATTTTTTTAATATTTTAATTATATATATAAAAAAAGGTTTTAATTTTAAAATGGAATTACTTAGTTAAAAAAATTTAAGTTTAAATTATAAAAAAAATGTTAAGTTTAAATTATATATATAAAAAAAATGTTTTTGGGAACAAAAAGGTTTTTTTAGAAAAAAATGTTTACGGGAACAAAAAAAGGCTTTTTTTGGAAAAAAATGTTTACGGGAACAAAAAAAGGTTTTTTTTTTGGGAAAAAAGGTTTACGGGAACAAAAAAAGGTTTTTTTTTTGGGAAAAAAGGTTTACGGGAACAAAAAAAGGCTTTTTTTTGGAAAAAAATGTTTACGGGAACAAAAAAGGTTTTTTTTGGGAAAAAATGTTTTAGTTTTAATAAAAAAGGTTTTGATTTTGAAAAAGGTTTTGATAAAAAAAAAATAACAATAGAATTGCAAATGCAAACAGACAATTAATGAACATGCAAACAATCCTATACGACACAATCATGGTTCATACAGATCAAAATCTACGGATCTAAACAACAATGAAGGTTAACATGGCAAGGATGCAAATAAATATGAAAAATGCAAAGGATTTAGTAATTTAACGGACCTAAACACATTAACATGGCAAAATATGCACATAAACATGAAAATGCAAAAGGTTTAGTAATTTAACCTACGAAGCGGAGGTTTGCTTCGGTAAATGTGAAAAAGGTTTGAATAAGGGAACACTGGAGAGCTCCAATCCTTCTAACGAGTTGTGGGAACGACCGCCTTTCTTCTCTGGGGATCTCCTTTGTTTCTCCCTCTCTCTCCTCTTTTCTGAAGAAAACCTTCTGACCCCTCTTAGGTTTTTTCATTCTCTCTTCTTTTCCAACAAGGCAACACATGTATATATAGGGAACAAATTAGGGTTAACACCAAATTGTCAATAATGTCCCTAAAGCCCATTTTAAAGCTCAAACTAAATAATTAGTTAAGAAAAAATAAAATTTAAATAATTTAAAATAATTAAAATAAACTTAAAATAAAAACTAATAATCCTATTGATTCCTAAAATAAAAAATATTATAAAAGGAACAAAATTTTTCAATATTTTTTTATTTTATGATTTTTTGGATATTTTTATGAATAATTTAGAAAAAAGTGAAAAAAATAATATTTTAAAAAATGATTTAATTAAAATACGAAAATAATAATTAAATAATAATAAAAAACTATTTTTGTTATTTTTTTAATGAAAGATAGAAAAATTTAGAGTAAAAATAATAAAGAACAAAAAAAGTGACAAAGGTGAGATTTAATTTTTAAAATAGTTAGAAAAAAAGATTTAATTTTAAAAAAGATAGAAAAAGATTTAACTTTAAAGAGGAGTTAGAAAAAGATTTAAAAAAAGTTAGAAAAAAGATTTAATTTTAAAAAGAAGTTAGATTTTTATTTTTAAAAAAAAAATATTAGAATTTGATAAAAAATGTGTTAGAAATTAATTTAAAAAAGGTTATAAAAAATTTACTCTTGAAGAAAAGAGAAAAAAAAAAAAGTTAAATTTTAATCTAAATCCTAAAAGTTAGTAAGAAGAGCTTTAAATAAATAAACTAAATAGAAAAAAAAAGTTAATAAAAAATATTAGTAAAGTTATAAAAAAAAAATTTAATTAAATTATTATTAGTTAAAAAAACAAGATCTAAAAAAAAGGTTAATTTATTAAGTTAATAAGAATTTAAAATAAAAATAAAAAAGAAAGGGTAAAATTTGGGGTATTACAGCATGCCATGTTACAATCCATCCTTCTGCTGCCCTCTTTGTTTTTTCCAATACTTTTTGAATGCTAGGACTTGTAACACCTAGGACTTGTAACACCTGTGTACCTACTTAATTTCTCCTATTGAGCAGATATTCTCACTGTTATGTAATGTTTGATTCCTTCAAGTAGTGAAATGATCGACTTATCTCTATACTCCAAGAGATAAAAAAATTAATTAATTTTAAAGAAACAAGTAGTCATTGAGTAATGTTTAGTCTCAAGAATGCATGAATATAAATAGCATCCATTCCATATAATAATTTGTTAGTGAATCAATGTAGTGTTTTTCATTGTATATGTTTAATATTTATAATTTTCAACATGTTTTATCTACATATCACATTTCAAATTTCTATATCTGAGATATTGCTTCAAATACATATTGGTACTGTCACTAATAATTCACTACAAATTCGAGCTACAAATTCCACTAACTTCCTAACAGTATTTTCATTCTAATAATTCACTACAAATTCGAGCTAACATCAAGCAGCAGCCCATTTAACATCCTAACAGTATTTTCACTCTAATAATCCATTAATCCACCTATAACAAGTCCCTAATTCTAACTGTCAACATATCAAGTTCGAGCTAACTTCAATAACAGTATAACAAGTCCCTAATAATTCAATTCAACAACATACCACTTTTTAACAATTGCTAACAATATAAGTTATAACCTTCCTATCTCAAGCATAACATAATTATAACTAACTTCACAATATTATAACTAACTTCACATATCCCAAGCATAACAGAATTTTTCCAAGCTACAACAGACTATTATTGCAAATTCACCTTTTAATACAAATTCACCTATCCCAAGCATAACATAACTAACTTCACATATCCCATGAGCAGCATTGTATATAATTAGCATTTATAATCAACATTGTATATAGCAGTATATAGCAGTCTTAGGAAACAAAATTTTTGTATATACCAGTATATAGCAGTCTTAGCATTGTATAAAGTTTCACCAAAATAAATCAACATATCAGTATTGTACACCAAACAACATATCAAACAACATTGTAACAAATATCAGCACTATAAAACTAACCTTCTGTTGATCTGATATAAATCCATATTTGTTGTCTTGTATAGATTGCAAGTCTTCTAATAACAAATTAAGGAACTATTTCCATGAGTCTTTCGTTTCAGCTTCCACTACGGCATAAGCGACTGGACAAATCTTGTTATTTCCATCCTTACCAACAATACCTATTAACTGACGTCCAAAGTCCCCTTTAAGAAAACAAGCATCCAGTCCTATTAGAGGCCTACACGTCGCTGCAAACGCTGCCTTACAAGCTTCTAAGCATACATATATTCTTTCAAAGACAGGACCACCATCTGAATCAGCACACTTAATTTTAACAGTGGAGTTTGGATTTGACTTTAACAACTCCTCACCATAGCTTCTAATATGTGTGAATTGTTCACGACCAGCACCTTGAATCAATTCCATTGCCTTTTTCTTGGCTCTATAAGCTTGATCCTTTGACAACTTCACCCTCTCACTTCTTAATAGCTTCTGCAATTAGCCCTTTGGTTTTTATTTCAGGAGTGTGTCTTATGGTGTACACAAATTGGCGACCTAACCAATCTGTTTTTGCTTATTTATTTTTGGCTGTCCTATGACAGCCATGACGATCAGTCAAGCTAATAAGTTGCCAATATTGATTGGTAGTCCTCATGCTAAACCTAATATGAAATGGACAACCATCTAGACACTTGACAACCATTCTCTTCTTGTCATTTTTCTTAAATACACGATTCTTCTTGTTCTCCATAGCATACCCCTTTATGGCATCTTTGATTTGTTGTTTATCCTTGAACATCATCCCTACTTCAAATTTTGTGGGTTCCCTAAAGATTGGAAACTTTGTCGTATCACCTTCAGCATCACTACCGGGTGGAGTTTGAAGCACATCTGAATCACTACCATTATCGGAATTATAATCCAACTTTGAAGGTTTTTCTTCTGTAGCATTAGGTAAAATGGTCTTCCAATTTATACTAGCATCAACACCTAAATTCGTCACATCAATTTCATCTTCCGAATCTTCATCCTCTTCTTCGTCATCCTCACTGCCCATGCTATAATCTGGATTTGTTTCACTCTCGTCATCTACGTCATCAACATTAATGTTAACCTCTTCATCTACTCCATCAACACTAACCTCTTCATCGTTTGCTCCATCGACATTAACTTCATCGTTTGCTCCCTCACCATTAACTTCATCATTTGCTCCCTCAATATTAACTTCATCATTTTCTCCCTCGACATTAACTTCATCGTTTGCTCCCTCGACATTAACTTCATCATTTGCTCCCTCGACATTAATTTCATCATTTGCTCCTTCACCGTTTGCTCCTTCACCATTGCCTTTTTCACCATTATCCTCCTCAAAAATAACATCCTCAATACTTATTTCTTCAACTTTGTGTTCAACATAAATATCAACTACCTTAAATCCTCTAACATCCTCCATTAACCTTAAGACATCATTATCATTGTTAAGAGGCCGAAGTCCACGAGAAAAGGAAAAATTAGGATTCCAATACCATAAACACTTTATATTACGATACCCCTCACTCTTGATCAAATCTTCAATTTGCATGTAGGACATCAAGTCCACATCCCAATCCCAATTTATTTCAGTTACAAGCCCATCAACATACAACAGAACTGGATTATGAATTAAATGTCCCCTATGGTGTACTCTAAATCTGATAGCTTGGGTATCAGATGGCCTACAAAACACAAACGACAGTTTCTGAATTAAACCATAGATAAAACCGGGAGTTGGTATTAACAAATCATATGCTATGACAGAACACAAACACCATTTGCATATTTAGTGTTTTTGTATTCAGAGGTGAGTTACGAAACATACCTCGACACGTAACTTCGGTTTGCCATTTCAGAGACGACGGGAAGCGAGCTGCGAATTGATTTGAAGCGAGCTGTGGTTTGATATAGAACTGGGTTTGAAGAAATGAGAAGATGAAAATAGGTTACAATGTGAAGAAGAAATGCGAGATGGGTTTGATTCGTTTGTGAAAATGAAAATGGGAAGATGAAAATGGTTACAATGGGTTGAAAATGAAAATGAAAATGAAATAATATTTAAGTTAATGGGGTTTTTTATTTAAGTTTTATTTTATTAAATTTGTGAAAATGAAATAATATTTAAGTTAATGACATGTAAATTATATTAAATTTAAAAAGACTATTTTAACTGACATGGAAATGCCACATCAACATTCAACGTGCCACCTCATTAAAAACATGACTTAAAATGACAAGGGGACTAATATTAATCTTGAAACCTAAAAAAAGGACCAAAATCGTGGTTTTTAAAATTGGGGGATCAAAACTCAAAAAAACACAAAATAGGGGGATCAAAGTTGCAATTAAGCCTATTTTTTTAATTAAGGTAATATAGCAAAATATTAAATTAAATTTTTATTTTATCAAATAATAAAATTGATTAAATCATTTTTAAAAATTATTAAATTATAAATATCAACCGTTTATTTAAATTTAAATTAACACATAAATACTTATTAGTAATTTACATTCATTTACCTCAATTAACACATAAATTGACTTACCTCACAAATCCAAATTGATTAAATTTTTAGAAATCATTAACTTCTATCATAAGCACCACTTAATCATATCCCATTGTAAATTGATGTCAATTCAAACATTATTATTTATTAGTAAAAGTTTAATAGACATACATACATAGGCGAAATTTTATACGATCATCAAATAAAATGTTACCAATATGTTAAATCATTCAAATATTTTTAAAATATCAATATGATTTATTAAAATAACATGATCATCCTATAAAATTATTTTACTAGTGCATTTTTTTTAACCTATATTAAAAATGCAACAGCCATTTTTATTTCACTTAATCCACATACAACAAAAATGAAGATTAAAACAAGTGCAAAAGATTAATTCAATCATTAACAAAACAGAATCAAGAAGCAACAGAAACAATAACTTGTTCTTCCTCCTCAAAGAACAAATCCTCCGTCCTCCTAAACACCGCATGCACCACCACAACCACCACCGCAACACTAACCGCAGCAATAATATTCACAGTAGCGTGTGTAAGAAGCAACAGCGCCACCGTAACAAACGCCATAACAACAACCACAAGTCGATCATCGACGAGTCTACCCCATATAATCACTGGCTGATCACGAAGAAAGTAGAGGAACAACCACGCCGCCATTAGAAGAACAAAAACAATGAGAGAGTAAGGGTGCCATAAAAGGCTCAGAAACAAAATGAAAAGCATGACCATAGCGTAGTTCATGCGGAAATACGAGATGTTGTCACGAAGCCGTGAAATTGCTTCTGGTGCACCGCGGCCGGGGATACCGAGTGATCGGATATCGAACATGGTTTTCCATGATCGACGGGTTCCTAAGCCGGCTTTGATTCTTTGTTTGCCGCGTGTTATGTATTCGAGTTTTGGTGGTGTTGGGGAGGTTGGGATTGTGCCGTAGGTTGTTGTCATGGTGGTGGAAACAAAACAACTGATGAAGGAATTGTAATGTAATTGGAATGAAGAATGGTTATTACTACTTAGTAGAGTTTGATAATTATAAGAGCAATTGGGTCCTACAATTTTGTGAGTTTGTTTATGTTTTGTTTCTACTTTATGATGAGTGTATTATTATGGGTTATGGATTTGGGATGATGGGATGTGGTCATGTGGATGGTAATAATTTGGGTTTGTAATTTGATTTTTGCTGTTGGATTTGCATGTCTTTTTGTGAGTTAGATAGGTAGATGTTTGATATGTTGTTTTCCAAATGAGTGAAGACACTCATAACATAGTATACGTTTTGTTGTCAAATTTGGAAGGTGGTTGGTGTTGCTTTCTTCCTTGGTTGCAATGCTCAAACTATTTAAATGTTTTGAGAACATGAAATGATCTCTACTCATATTGTACTTATAATCATCCATGTTTCATGTCTAACCATGTTGTGGTTTTTAGTATTTGTTGTGTTTGTAAACGACAGGGAATAGAAGTAGTAATGTGATTGGATGGTGGGATGCAAGAATTCATCTTTGCTTTATTTCATCTCTTGAATGATCCCATACTTTCCAACTAACTACACTACACATAGTAGTGACAACAGACTGCATGCAAGCAATGCTCATTTTAATTCTTCGTTGACATCATTATTTCAATAAATGTTTAATCTTTTAAGACGCGTGTGACATTTATTCAAAAAATATATAATGTGTGTTGAAGCGAAGAAAATAATATTTATTTTAAAATATTTATCTTAATTGTTTGACACGTGTTGTATGATATTATATTATGGTGTCTCACTGATTTAAAGAGTGTCAAAGTAAAAAAAATAAAAAATTTTAAACTGTTGTTTAACTATTATGATATTTGTTTAACTATTATGATATTTGTCTAACTATTTCGACATGTATCGTACGAATGTCATAAAATGTCAGACATCGCAACACACATATTTTTGACATTGTTTGATAGCTTCTGGGAAGCTCAAGGTAAGTGAGAGTATAGTTCTAAATTGCTCCACTACATTGTTGATCCTGCAAGGCACTCACCTACTACCCAAATGTCATTTGTCATTGTATAAATGTTAATCAAAATAAATCATAAAATAAATTTTTTTCTGTTATAATAAATCAGCAATTGGTTAATTAACCATGATTTGATGTAATAACGTACCGATAATTAATGTCCCAAGTATTTTTACTGTAAATTCAAATTGTATTTTAGGCTTAAAAAACTTAGCTTCAAGGTAAAACTTGCAATGGCAAATACTTGAAGGTTGGATTGTGTCTCTATGTGAGTTCCAAGTTATACTAGTCTTCTCAAGTTGCTAACTTTCAATTGCATTCCAAGCTTCCATTTCATTTTTCTTCTTCAACTAGTAAATTATATATATATGTGTCAGTAATTGATAATGGTAAATTGAGACCAAATTTAAGAGTTTTATTTAAGGAAATAAATGGAGGAAATGCCTAGACTCCTTCATGGAACAATTGAAGCTACCATCTTTAAGGCCTCACCTTTCACACCATTTTCCCTCTTCAACGTGAGTATGATTTAAGTACAAATATTAAGGAACGATAGTGTCATATTTGTGATATTTTATTTTTCTCTCTCATTATACACGTATTTATAAATTTTTATATTTTATTGACATATCCGAAACTTTTTTAAAATGTCATATTTTGTATCGAAATATTTTTAAAAATGTGGTATTTTGTACGGGTAATAGTAGTATCGATATCTGTATTTGTACTCAATACCTTATCTGTACTGAATATTATACCTGTATCTATTGATAATAGATTTGATTCAAGTATAACAAAATTGTAGATTTTCGACTTGGTTATATGAGATTAGAAGCTTGTAGACCCCAACTCCTATGATTATATGTAGCTATATTTTGAAGGTTTTGTAGTGAAATCATAAACTCATAACATTGCATGAATTTTTCTCTTCTTTTTTGCAGTGCATATGTACAAATGGAAAGCCTGCATATGTGACCATCAAGATAGACAACACGAAAGTTGCGAAAACAAGCAAAGAAAGAAACCGTGTTTGGAACCAAACCTTTCATATTCAATGTGCTCATCCAGCAGATTCAGTTATTACCATTACTTTGAGAACATCAAATTCCATGTTAGGAAAACACAGTATCAAAGCCCAACAACTTTTAAATGAAGGAAGCTTAATCAACGGATTCTTCCCCCTCGTCATGGAAAATGAAAAACCAAACCCGAAACTTAAGTTGAAGTTTATATTATGGTTCAAGCCTGCAAAGTTGGAAGAGAGTTTGGCAAAAGTACTAAGCAATGAGGAATTTCAAGGGCTAAAGGATGCAAAATTTCCACAAAGGTCTAATTGTCAAGTCAAACTTTACCATGATGCTCATCATACTCCTACCTTTCAACCTCCCTTTGATCCATGTGGTACTCCAAACAATCTATGGGAGGATGTTTATAAAGCCATTGAAGATGCAAAGTATATAGTTTATATTGCAGCATGGTCCCTCAATCCCAAGATAGTTTTGGTAAATATACTTTTTTTTTGTGACAATATACTAAATACATGTTTGGACTCATTTTTCGGAGAGTTAAAATGATTCCAAACACCTGTCTAGTTAAGTCAGCTCATTTGGTAGCTGTGCAGAGACATCTGCTGCATAAGGGCGGGTTCAAACCTACGACATCCCACTTATATTATACATGTTATGCATTGGTTTGTTATTATGTTTTTATACATTTATATACATTGTTTGAGTCTGTGCATATTGGACAGGTAAGAGATCCTCATACAAAAATCCAACATGCAAGAGGAATGAGTTTAGGTGAACTGTTGAAACAGAAGGCAGATGAAGGAGTGGCTGTGAGAGTTATGCTTTGGGATGATGAAACATTATTACCCGTAATTAAGAACAAAGGTGTGATGAACACACATGATGAGGATGCTCTTACTTATTTCAATCATACAAATGTTATATGCAAAAAGTGTCCTAGATTACACCACAAGTTTCCAACACTATTTGCTCACAATCAGAAAACTATAACGGTTGACATAAAAGTGGCTAAATCGGTTAGCGATAGAGAGATTATGAGCTTTGTTGGTGGTTTAGATTTGTGTGAGGGTAGATATGATACGGAACAACATTCATTGTTTCAAACACTTATTAAGGAATCACATTGTTATGACTTTTACCAACCAAACACTGAAGGCGCTAGCCTTAACAAAGGAGGACCAAGAGTTCCTTGGCATGACGCTCATGCTTGTGTTATCGGCGAAGCTGCTTGGGATGTGTTATCAAATTTTGAGCAAAGATGGACTAAGCAATGTGATCCTTCTCTTCTAGTCCCTAATACTACCTTGGTGAATCTCATGCCTCGAACAAACTCAAACACTTCGATAGAAAGTAATTGGAAAGTTCAAGTTTATAGGTCGATTGATCGTGCTTCTGTTGGTGATATCTGTGGAAATTTCACCGCGGAGAAGAGTATCCATGAAGCTTATATTGAAGCAATTAGGCATGCTGAGAGGTTTATATACATTGAAAACCAGTACTTCATTGGTGGATGCCAATGGTGGGGAAAAGATAAGCATTGTGGTTGCACGAATCTAATTCCAATCGAAATTGCATTAAAAGTGGTAAGTAAGATCAAAGCAAAGGAGAGATTTGCAGTGTATATAGTTATTCCAATGTGGCCAGAAGGAGTGCCTGAAAGTGAATATGTTCAAGATATATTGCATTGGACTAGAGAAACTGTGACACTGATGTATAGGTTGATTGGTGAAGCAATAAAAGAAAATGGTGAAATAGGACATCCAAGAGACTATTTGAATTTCTTTTGTCTTGCAAATAGAGAGCATAAGGGAAAAGGGGAGTATCTTCCACTGGATTCTCCCCACCCTGAAACACAATACTGGCATGCACAAAAGAATAGAAGATTCATGGTTAATGTACATTCAAAGCTCATGATAGGTACTAGTACTATTCATTTAGTATTTATCAACTATTATATGATTGTTTTTGTTTGACAAGTCTTGTTTTATTGCATGTATGTATGTATGTATGTCACCAGTGGATGACATGTACATACTACTAGGTTCAGCTAATATGAACCAAAGATCCATGGATGGGAAAAGGGACACTGAGATTGCCATAGGATGCTTCCAATCTCAAGATGAAGTTATGAAACAAAAGAACCTTGGTGATGTTCATGTATACAGAATGTCACTATGGTATGAGCACACAAATAGTTTCAATGAATTGTTCCTAGAGCCACAAAGTTTGGAATGTGTGAAGAGGATGTGTTTCATTGGAGATCAAATGT